TTTTAACATTATTCCAGTTATTTTCACGGTGTGTCAGCTTAATGTTGGAGGAAAGCCCGAAGTGATGCAGATCTCAGATGTTTACCACTTCGGTGAAACCAATGAGAACGGGTATGGTGCTCACAAACCTAGAAACATAATTGGGGCGAACTGGGATTCGAACCCACAATCATAGGTTTCTGGCGTGCCCAAGGGATGCAACTCTACACAGCGAATCGCGGCACCTTAGACAACTGGGCCACCCGTGCCCCCCAAACCTAAAAGGAACCATGAATAAGTGTACAAATGCAGTGGAAGTAAAAACAGCGAGGCAGGTTTCTTGTGGCAAGTCCCTGTGTTCGGGGACCTGTTCCACAAAACAGTAAAGAAGTTATATATTGTAGGATTTCAGACATTTTACTTCATGCTAGTTTCTGTGTATTTTTCATTCTAGCTGTTGCTCCTTGCCAACATGGCATCTGTAAAAACTATTATAATACAGTCAAGTCCTGTTAATCCGACATGGTTGTTTGCATCTGATTATGTTGGATTAATGACTATGTCAGATGAACGAAATTTCGTAGTTTCAACGTTCATGATAAAAAAAATTGGACGACACGATAGATAATGAAACATGCATGTTGTAATAAAATAATTAAAAAGGATATACTGTTATGTGATATTGTTAGTTGAATATGTTTTCTAATCATGCAACCTTAAAAAAATTAACACAGGGCATTCCGAACTACAGTTACGGGATGTACAACTGATTCCAAGCACTTTTGAAAGCATAGTCTGGAATGGAAGTCGCCAGTTTAAAACTAGTGCTTCAAAGCTCAAGAAAGCTGTTTTCTTATTGGTTTATGTTGACTTCCAGTTAGTCATTTCATTGATCGGTCAAAGTTTGTGAAAGGCTGTTCACCTCATTTTAATGAGATTGAGGTTATCAAAACATGTGATTAATCCTGTTTTGTTTATAGAAAGGATTAATTGTTCATTGTTAAGCAAGTTTCTCTGCAGCCATTGTGGTATGCAGCCACAAGACCCATCTCAGTTCAATCACGGGGCTGTATACTCGCGTAAAGATGAACACTGTGTACGCTGATTTCTATGTTGGATTAACAAGACTAATTAATGAGAGATTTCAGCAGTTGGTTGCAAATTAGTAGTGTCAGATCTGGAGGGCAAGACTGTCAGATTAACAGGTTTAAATGTCGACTGTCATACTAATAAGTGTTGGATTAACGAGACTTGACTGTATGTGTTTGCTTATTTCCAAAATGTTTTGCATGTGGCAGTGCTCTATTAATGCATCATGAAAGAGCAGTGATGTCACTGTCAGTGGAATCTGAATTCTTTAATTGTGTGTACTAATTTAATTGACACCCTCGGTGGGATCATAAACTAAATTAACCAGGAATTCCCCCAGTGCTCAAGTCATATAAACATAGAGAATTACCAAAAGAATGACAATTCCAGTGACCTTGACCTTCAATGAAGGTTGCTCAAAACCAACTAAATGTTTAGGTGAGCTAAAAGAACTCATAGAGTTTTTCTCCACGTGCACCACACACGCCATAGCTCCATAGCTAATAATTTATTAACAGTAATACAAGCTAGCTGCTATTTATGATAAATGTTTTACAGATGCACTTCCATATCAAGTTGAGTTATCTAAACACTTTGTATGTACCCTTTCATAATGAAACAGATCGTTCTATGTTTATTGCCATAACTGTTGACTTATTGGACTTCAGTTTTTATCATTTTCGGAGTACAGACTGAAGATAACTTTACCTGTCATTTACAAATGACCCTACCCTGGGATTTTCTGTCTTCACAACATGTGTTTTTTGTCTATTGCTCTTGTGTCTATGTTTTTCACTATTTCCAAGGAACATACATTTAAAGAAAGACATTGCTGTAGATCATTGTAGATACTCAGAATTGACAATGTTTCAGATTGCAAATTTGAAATTCGTGCTGACATACATAAACATGGTAAAGTTATCAAAACATGCACCATAGCTTATACTTGTGCAACAAAGACGTGTTAATAAATAGAATTACACCTCCATGACTGTACGTAACATCATGCTCCTAGCAGCGAAACCTTAAACCATATGCCCTGTAGTTGTTTCTTGTTAAAGTCGCACTCAGCAATACTCCAGCTATATGACAGCAGTCAATAATCAAGTCAGGACTAGACAAACCAGTGGTTGACCTCATGAGCATTGATCTACGCAATTGGGATACGATGACATGCATTAAACATGTTAACCAAGACATTGAGCCTGACCACCCAATCCTGTTAGTTGCCTCTTATGACAAGCATGAGTTTCTAAAGACCAATTTTAAGCCAGATCTTCTTTGGTACCATATGCACTTTAAGTGAAGAGGTGTAAGGGATAGCTAAAGTGACGTGAAGCAGACAGTTTCTTAGTTATTCATGGGGTACCATTCATGGCCCCCTTGCATTTATTGCAAAATGAATTTTCAAGGAACATATGCCATTAAACTTAAGTATGTGGTTAATATTTTATTATGGCGTTAATCACCATTTCACCCGTAGTCAATTTTCCACAGTCTACAAATCAATGCATATGATCGATAGGGTGTACCACTAATTCATGTAACTTTAAAAAGTAACTTAGACACATAAGAGTCAAATATGAACTTAAATTGTTTATTCATTTGCTGAGAAGCAACCATGAGGGAAATTGATATGCCATAATCACCTGAAGAACACCCATAATGACCATGTTACACTGTCAGCCTATCATACATGTTGTGAGTGAGTTGGGTAGAACAGTATTACAGTTATATCACAGCATGTCAGCTTAATGTGGGAGGAAAGATCAAAGTGATGCAGGTCTTAGATGTTTATCTCTTTGGTGAAACCCATGAGCATGAGTATGGTGCTCACAAACATAGAAACATAATTGGGCCAAACCGGGATTCGAACCCACGATCATAGGCTTCTGGTCTGCCGAGAAGAACTCCACACAGCGAATTAGGACGCCTTAGATGACTGAGTCACCCATGCCCCTATGATTACATATATAATCACTGACACATTGTTAATGTACGATGGCAACAAAATTTGTTCACTATTACCTAATATGGGAGAAGCGAAAAGAAGTCATGAAGCAAAGGAATCCATCATCATTGACTTGTCATGTGATAACAAGTTTGAAAATAAGATTAATTTAACAGCAGCATATGCTTCAAACAATTGTTGAAGACAACAATTCAAAAGTCCTCCACAAGATCAAATTATGACGTTCACAGAATTTTGAAAATACTGATAAGCCAGAGAGATTTGGAACTTTTTTTATGGAATACAGTTCACTGTTGATGCATGAGGCTTGGGGTGAATATTAATGATTATGGAAATTTCAACTGCTTCCAACACACAGGGTGGTTGAGGAGAGTTGACGGATGCCTGCTGAAATTAATCAATGAGAAAGGCATTGGTTCTAACAGCTTAAGTAACAGGACCCAGGTGTCAATGACCTCCAACTAATGACTCCCAACAATACTATAGACATGGTATATACAAAGAGGATAATTACACATTGGGATGGGGATAAGGGGCATTGAGTAAGACCAGTGTTACACAACATGAAGTAACGACCCAGCATTCTTATATACATGTGTGTAACATTATGACTAATGATGTAACACTATAATAAACATCTACATACTAATTAAGTAACTAAACCAGGAAAACAATATTTTTATCAGTGCCTTGAGATCAATCATTAGGAAACAATGAGAACAGTACATGGTCTTATACAACTGTTATATGAGAGGAAAAACAGGATTGAGTTATTGAGGGCAGAATTTGTGAAACAATTCATTGATTCTCTTTGTGATTGAAAACCTTTGTCCACTTCAGCCGCTATTCTCTGCCATGACCTCTGTGACCCCAGTACAAGTTCACTCCAACCTCATGTGGTTTCAATACGCCTCAGCAAACTGCCCTACTTTGCTCTCTCACAACTGACACTTTACCAACCCTTGCTCAAATGCAAATAGAGCCCATTGTTTTCGGAATATATAGTTTAGGAAAGACTGAGCGTGTCTATTTTCAATCTATTGGTGGGTTTATTTGTTTGTTGCTAGTTTACAATTGCTGGCTGTAAGTAAGCATGCTTACAAACACAAGTATTATTTGACTGCTTTATGAAACATGACATGAAAGGTGTATAAAAATTTTAAAAACCTGTTTCGGTTCACTTAAATCTAATACTAATAGCCATGCTGCAATATATTTTAGACTGAGATCCTGTTTCTCTGATACTCCAGAAACGATGCAGGAAATGTGTACCAAGAATACCAAATATACAGACTATGTATAACATCTAAATAAAGACATAACTATTATAACTTGATTTGCTGAAAAGTAATAATACTCACTATTTCCCATACAAAAAAAATGGAATGACTTGAGAATTTAACATTTCATGAAGTATACATGCTTCTTTTTTACAACACTGCCAGCAACAAGTAGATGTCTTTATAGACATCATATCTTTTTGATATAACATCCAGTGTTGTATTATGATATAGCACATATCAAGCAACATTTTTAATTTATATTGTACACAAACCTTTGAACAGATTAGTTGGTAGCGATGTGATCACAATCCTAAATAAGGTGTGTTTAGGCTCTTCAACCCAACCATATTGTACCTCTAAACAAAAATACTTTTGCTTCAATGGAAGTGAACACATCTCATCTCTTACAAATCATTATTTATCCAGTAAATCACAAAACATTTCTAATTGTGGCTTAAAATAGTGAGTAGGTTCTTTGTGAAGACAACCTGCTTTATCATTATGTATTTACAACAGGCTTACAGTAGGTGACAGCTAGGCTTATCATGCAAAATTCCTTCTCATTTGTAAACCTTTGGGGACAACTGCAGGACTTTGTTTTCGGAAAATATAATAACATACCATGTATTTTTATGTAAATCTACTGATAGAAGATGAAATCAACATTATTTACTCACCCTGTGCACGAATGCTAGGAACCGTCTGCCCTCCATTTTGCCTTTTCCAACCTCGCCAATTATTGCACAGGCTTTCTGGCTCGCTTAGCCAGGAACAGAGGGAATCTTCCTCAAAACGGTCGCTGTCTTCAAATGAGAACCTATCTCCTTCATATTCCCAGTCAAACATCAAGTCCATGATGTTTCAGAGGGACGGGGAAAATGAAAACAAGGTTTTTGTTCTGTCGACTACTCCCGGCTGAACCTAAGACGGTCGACAGAAAAGGTTACCCCGACAAAACTATCGGGGATTTTTAGATACAGCGATCAACAAGGCAAATTCCACCCATATGTAAAGTTGAAAGGTATATCTAACAGGAGATATTATTATTACTGTGGGTAGGCCGCAGTAAAATATAGAAAGAAGGTCAAATCCGGAGGTTTTTTAGATGACTGGTCATGTTGAAGTGTACAACAATAACAAACGACATCGGTAGGGTTCGGCCTTTTCCGGTATTTGACGAATTAGAATCTCGTTCTACTTCGGGCACCTGCGAGATTTGGCCTCTTCCGCGAGATTTCAGCTACTCGCAAGGTGAAAACCAAAATACTGGGAGAAATCCTCAACTTATCAACTCCATCACGAGACATTTTTTCATTTAAGAAACGCTATCTGATAAATAATATGTTGATTGTCAGACTGTTCATTATATGTTTCCGTGCCTATGGCTAGAACATAATATTTTGCCTATAGAATGTACTCATGTCACGATGTGTGATAACTGTGCATCTGTATCCTAAATTCGTTAGTCACATTTGTGAAACTTTCCTTGATCTGTCCTATATGAATCTGTTTTCAGGGGCGTTATGATTCTAATATGTGTCAGTCCCAGTCAACCGTCATTTTTAGCTTATTGTAACATGCTCGCTAATGATAGAATCGTTATTGAAAGTAGTTCGTATTCAGCTAACAAGTTAGGTCTCATTCCGTAGATTACATATGCAATGCGTATATAACCTACAAGAATGATTGAACAGACGCGCATTTTGAATTAAACGTATGTTGTCAGCATCAAATGACTATATGTAATCCTGAGATTGTGAATCAATGGATAAACAGGTACATTAGGAACGTGTGGCGATTGCTGAAATTAAAAAATATGTAATTTCATATTATGGCAACATTACAATTTACCTCGTGTGGCTTATATTTGCTCAGACTACCTTCTGTGGATCTTGCTTCACAGACCATGCCTCTTTAATCGTTAGGGTAGGTTACCACCAAGCCTATCCTTGCACTTGGACCCACTTTCCGATCAAGCACCCCTTTACAATCCTTCAGGTTGGATACCACTTTCAAATCAAACACCCTGTTAATATCCCTAGGGTTATTCCTGATTTAGACAGTGGGTAATCTATCTCTTTTTAGAAAATTAATCAAATGTAATTTGAGGAAAATCTATATAATTATTAAATTTCATGGAGAAAATGGCTACTGTGCATGAAGGCAAACAATCAGTTGCTGATCACTTGGTAAATAAGCACTAATTATTCGGACTAGTGGCTAAAGTCACAGACTACGGTACTTGGGGTTTGCTCATTTAGTATTTGTATCCATTCAAAATATTGGTTATGAAAAAGCCCCCTTGGCTCTCATGAGTAATTTTAAACACTGATATGTCAAAGAATAATAGCAGCATGTTATTACATTAATCAGAATATTTGAAATAAGACCTAGCGATGCAGTGTGAAATGATCAACTTAATTTGCATTCTTCAAATTATTAATAGTTTTTATTTATCCAGTTATAAACTTCCAATAATGATAGGTCTCTAAATTTCAGCATGGCTCCACGAAAAGGAAAGACTCAACAGCAGGAGCAAGTTGTACTTGGTCCCCAAGCTAAAGAAGGAGAAAATGTGTTTGGAGTAGCACATATCTATGCTAGCTTCAACGACACATTTGTCCATGTTACTGACCTGTCTGGAAAGTGAGTAGAGAAGTACCACAGTTATAACCCATAATAAGTTGTAGCTGTTGACTCCCTGAGTCTCCATGGTATAGCAGAGCATCTGCCTGGAGAGCAGGTATGATTCCCTTGACATTAAAATATGGTACTTATAAATGTTACCCTGCCTGGCGCCAAGCATCAAAGGGATAAAACAAGTCTGTATACTGTCTCTTAGTGGGGTATCCTTGTTAAACTGCAACATTGTATTATATTGGGCTTGCACTATAAAAATGAAAAGTCCAGATTTCAACAAGCTTTTTTTCTTCTTTTGTTGTTAAAACCATTCTCAGCAATAGTCCAGCCAGCCATATGATGGTAGCCTGTTAACAATCGAGTCTGGACCAGACAGCCCATTGATCAATATTGTGATCAACAATCAACGCCATCAGAGTATAATGACACGGAATCAAGTCACCGAGCTTGACCAGTCGATCGATTCAGTTGCTTCTTATGATGAGCATAGGTTGCTGGGTACATTCTTATCCCGAGGGGGCACAGGTGGCCCAGTCGTCTAAGGCGCTGCGATTCGCTGTGCAGAGTTGCGTCCCTTGGGCATGCCAGTAACCTATGATTGTAGGTTCGTATCCCGGTTCGCCCCTATTATGTTTCTAGGTTTGTCAGCACCATACCCGTGCTCGTGTGTTTCACCGAAGTGGTTTGACCTGCATCACAGCCAAAGACATTGCATTATTCTATATCATTCCCGTATTGATATAGGTAATATTGGGACATTTTAGATGACAGCAATCCGTGCCCTAGAAAATGAACCTGTCTGAAATCCTGTGAATCAACCAAAATATTGTCATTTACAATTAAAATACAACTAGCATCTTAAAGTGCTAAAGCCTATAGGTATAGGATGTCTTTCTTCACTAAGTCGTGGTTGACACAACATTTGTTACTAAGTATTCATACTTTACTAAAAGTTCTTTGCCTGTGAATATCTTTTTGACGTTATGTGCTTCAGAGAAACGATCACCCGTGTGACCGGAGGGATGAAGGTAAAGGCTGACAGAGACGAGGCCTCCCCCTATGCAGCTATGTTGGCTGCACAGGACGTTGCTGAGAAGTGCAAGAATCTTGGCATCACTGCTCTGCACATCAAGTTGAGGGCCACTGGAGGAAACAGGTATGGTATAGACTAATGCTAGTACTTCCTCTGTGATATAGCATCTGTCCCAATTGTTGAATGATTATCCCCCGCCCCAACGAAGTTGGCGGGGGATATAGAAATGGATTCGGTCTGTGTGTGTGTGTGTGGGTGCGTGTGTGTGTATGTGCGTCCCAAAATCGTTTCCGGAGCATAACTCAGAAACCGTCAAATATTTCTCATTGCATGTCCATCAGACTCATGCTGAACTGGTGCCTTTTGCTTTTTAGGAATTTTATACATTTTTATTTTTTACATTTCCATGGCAACAAGTTGGACTTAGGTTCTATAAGGGTACTGTTCGTTTCCGGAGCGTAACTCAAAAACTGTTAAATAATTTCTTACAAAATTATGCATGTCTACTAGGCACATACTGAACTGGTGCCTTTTGCTATTTAGGAATTTTATAACTCAAAACCCATTCAATACTTTCCAACAAAAACTGTGCATGTTTACCAGACACATACTGGACTGGTACCTCTTGCTATTTAGGAATTTTAGACATTTTTATTTTTCACGTTTCCATGGCAATAAGTTGGACTTAGGTTCTACAGGGGTGGTGTTCGTTTCCAGAGTGTAACTCAAAAGACATTAAATACTTTCTTACAAAACTGTGCATGTCTACCAGGCACATACTGAACTGGTGGCTTTTGATATATAGCACTTTTAGAAATTTTTATTGTTTATGTTTCCATGACAACAAGTTGGATTTAAGTTTTAATATAGGATTGGTGTACTTAAGTAGTATAACAAATAAACTGTTAAATATTTCCTTGCCAAACATTGCATGTCTATATATAAAGCGCATACTGAACTAGTGCCATTTGATATTAAGGAGTTTTAGAAATGTTTATTTTAGAATTTCCATTGCAGCTATTTTGACATGGGCTAAGAAATGTTGGTTCAGTTACCTGGTTTGGGACCATAATATGTTAAAATGGGCAGGGGATATAGATGACTTTGTCAACTATACGCTTGTTGTACTTGTTACCCTGTCCGATGCCCAACATCAAGAGGATAAGGCTATGACGGGTCAGCTTGGAGTCGGTATAATGTGAGTGGGGTATCCATGTTAAACTATGGCATGGTATCTCTGTGGGCTAGTACTATAAATCCTGCACAACTCAGAACCTAGTAGAAGCCACTATGTTAGTGAAATTATCTTAAAGCGACTTTAGAGCGCATTTCACCTCACTTTGATAATGCTGGTCCAAGTGTAAGAAAATGAGCATAAGAGCGTATCATCCTTGTGATACGACTTCAGTATTGTGTGTATCCCTATATTAGAATAATATTGTGGAAAACTTCAAGGATTCGCTTTAACATGTGAAACACTGCCCTGCTAAACGAATGATGTGGAATATGAAATGAAGGAATACTGATCAGAATCTGTCGTTTGTAAGTTTACCGAATAATGCCAGAATATCTTATGGTGAATATACTCATATTATTACCTTACCATACATGCATAAAATGCATCTTTGTAGTGGGAATTAACTCTTCTCTAAGCATTTCTAGGTTGGTTCAGGTTTCAGCTGGGCTAAAAAGTACTGACAAGGTATTGAACATCCTACAAAGGGAGATAACTTTTGAACATTTGGGTTGCATCCCTTTGACTATTCTTGATGGTCAATGTATGCTACTTTTGCTTAGATAAAGAAATTTGTCATGCAAAAGTTTTGTTATATTACAAATATGTGGAGAAGGTATAACATTGTATGATATTGAGTGTGAGTGGAACAAGTCGATACATATTGAGTAAGGAAAGTATGTATATCAACTTTTTATATATATTTTTAATATTATATAATATATTTTTCATGAAAACAAACACATAAATATAGCCGTGTTTGGTCTTCAGTGATAAGGGAATAGCCAGTGTCATTTGTATATAATAAGCTGTATGTTGTGTGGGTCGCATTTCTCAAAGGCATGTCATTTAGGTAGTGATTTCAAGGGTCAAGTCAGCCATTACCCGGTTATTAGATCACAATGCATTAAACTCCTTCCTTGTTTTCCAGGACCAAGACTCCAGGCCCTGGAGCTCAGTCTGCTCTCCGAGCTCTGGCTCGTTCCGGTATGAAGATCGGAAGAATTGGTAAATAATTAACAATCATCAAAACTATGGTCAACTCCAGTAATGACTTTCTTAAATTGAACTTCCCATATGAATGTCTTAGCTGAATTGTCAATGTTCTCCTTACTTGTCCAGAACTGATAAGACTCTCTGATTTTTCTGTGAAAGGTCTGTAATATACACAAGGAAATACATCTGTCATGTAAATGTTTAGGCTTAGTACTGGGTGTTTCTGAAGGTTACTT